AATTTCCAAGGACCTTGTTGATTTTAAATACATCCTTTGGGGCCAGCAGATGGTGTAGCAGTTACTCGTTGGACTCTCACATGGCCAACCACAAGTTGAGCCCCAGACCCAATGGTTTGAAACTCACTCCAGGCACATGTGTATCTATGCCCAAGATCCCAGGAGGAGAATAGAAGAGAAGGGATTGTGGTATGGCCTCCCTCCCTCCCCGGAGGTGATTTCTCACTTTCCTTCTCACTATCTCTGACCCTCACTCTCTCCAGCGAATGTGCATGCCCTGAGGCAAATAATAATAATAATAATATCCCTTTCATAAAGACACCACAACTTTACATAAATCTATAATAGCGCTCCCAAACTCCATTTTAATGAAAAGGAGCTAGGGCGTTAATTTTCACAGAAGGATTCACAATGGGCTTTCTTTAAATAGCCTGGCACGCTCTGAGACCAGCGGCAGTCACAAACGCTGTATGTGCCAGCTTTCCCACACCAGCTACGACTGCGGGCCTCTACAGGCAGAGTTTGCAGCGGCTTCTGGGGCTCCCTCCCAAGCCTGGGGCTACATGTGCATGTAGAGCTCCTTGAGAGCGCTCGGGCACGTTACTTTAATCCCTGGGAGAAAGATGACACACAGGCAAGCAGGACCTGCCGTCCTCAGAGCATGCCTTCTGAAGCCCTGGAGGAGCATCAGAGGAGAGCCACAGTAAAATGATTTCTGTTCCCACAGCCAATGTTCCAGACAGCGGCCGAGAACCTCTCAGTGCTCAGTGCTTGGGTAAAAATAGTTGGGGACCAGCAGGCGACATAGAGGTTAGGCTCCAGGTCCCACTTGGCCCACTGCACAGTTTGGGCCACTAGTTTGGGCACTAGATCCCACATGGCCCGACCCAGTGCCGGGCGCATGTGCATGCAGACCCAAAGTCCCAACAGGAGACTGGAGAAGGGACAGTGGCACAGCCATCCCCTAGGGCAGGGGGTGCTTCCTCACATTCTCTCTCTCTCTCTCTCTCAGTCTCTCTCTGGAGAGTGCATGTGCCCGATAGCAAAAACAAACAAAAACACAGTTTCTTTACACTCCTGCTGGAGTGTACATATGCTTTAAAAAAACACCAGAGTCAAATTGGGGGTTTAGAAATAGAACTTATTTGGATGTTTTGAAAGAGACACGTCATCTCCGGTTCTGCATTTGCAACTTCCTGGCAGCTTGAGTCCACATGCCGCAGGGCAGAACCAGATTTCAAAGGTAGGAGAGAATCTCACTGAGAGCTTGGCTTTCCAAAGACCCTCTGCAAAGCAGCTTTACTTAGCACAGAGGCAAGACACTGAAGGGGTGGAGACCCTACCCCAGCCCTCCCGGCCCAGCGGGACTCTGACATACTGCCCCACTGGCTGCCAGGGCTCTGAGGCGGGCAGGGTACCGTGATGCTCTGAGCCATCTCAGCTGGAGCCTGCTTCCCACCTGCCCTAGGCAAGTCAGGTGCAAACTCACGCGGTCCAGTTCAGATGAAACGCAGCATTCTCAGCTGTCTCAAGGCCAAGTTCAGGTCTCAGCTGCCCCACATGCTTCACTAATCATTAACAGTGACGGAGAGGGATGTAGAATGTGCTGAAGACTGCCAGAACCTCACAAGCCTTACCTCATTTAATCCTAGCAACGGCCCTAGGCGGGGAGCCGATAACCCCAATGATAGGGAAACGGTACAAGCTGAAATCCACGTGGCTGATCAAAGAAGCTGCCAGGTCTCTTGGATTTTTGGCCACAGGGCGTATCCTAGTCCAGTCGCCTGGCTGTGAGAAGCTTTGTGGAGGTGCCCTGGGCCACAGTTCCAGCCGAGCCCAGCCTGAGAGTCATCCCAACCCAGACGTTGGAGTGAAAAGCAGCACCTGGGGACTCCAGCGCCAGACGTGGGAGCAGAGGCAGCCATCCCCACCAGGCCCTGTCCAAATGGCTGTCATCTCGTGGCTCCAACCTTGGGGTGTTCATGAGCAACAAAGGCACCTCGCACAGGCCCTGGTTACACACCACCCTCTTTTACAGACGACCGACCATGCAAAGAACAGTAAAAGGAAAGCAAAGGCCCCAAGTAAGCTGTGAGTCTAAAGATGCCCCCAAACCGACTGCACCACCCCATGCCGCTGGCGGTCGCGTGTTGTCTGTTCACTGGTGCCGCCTCCCACACCCTAGTGCCAGCTCGGTTTCAAGAGTGCCTTCATCTGCCAGATTGGGATGTCCAGGTCTGTCTTCTCAAACCTGAGGGAGCACTTGGAGCCCTGGAGGGCTTGCTGGACACACTGCTGGCCCAGTGCTCAGGGTTCCATCCAGAGATCTAGGACAAATGCATTTCCAAAGCCTCAGGTCCTGTCAGCACTGCTGCCCCAGAGCTGGGGCAGTGCTGGAGAACCACTAGCACATACTCCTGCAGGGGGCGCAAGTTCTGGGGGTGCTGCCATTATTGCACACACAGCAGGCAGCTCAGGCGAGAACTCCCCACCCACAGCTTCACAGCTGCCCGGTGGCTGTCAGGGCAGCCCTGGCCTGGCCTGATGCCTGTTGCTCCGTGGCCTGCAGACAAGAGGGTGAGTGGGCACACACATTCGAGGCCAGAAAGCTGCCAGAGCTCAGCTTCCACCCAGGGTAGCCAGAAAGGCTGCATCTTTTGGAGAAGTGAGGGAAGGGAAATGGGCAGATGAACTCCTTGCTGAGTCACCTGGTCTGGTCCCTGCCGCCTGACCCCAGAAGTCTGCCCACTGTCTTATCTGAGAGGGAGGTTGCTCTGTGCTCACGGCCACTGTGGACATTATGTGGCCTCCCCATCTACAGGCGGCTTCCAGAGAAGTGGCATACTTCCGGCCTGTCCCCCTGCAAGTGGCTCTCTCCCCTTCCAGGGCACATTCCACCATTCTGCAAACCTAAGGGTTTGTGTTTCCCCCCTGGTTCAGGGACACCTGCTGCTGACTCAGTTTTAGAGAAAACACTTATCTAGTTAGTGACTCACTTTGATTAAACCAGCAAAGTAACCTACAACATGGAAGCAAATTTTTGTTTCAAACTTCTTCAAGCTTCTTTGTTTGAAAACAAACAAAACACATTGCAAGACACGACCTCTAATTTTGTGGCTATTTCCGAATATAATTTAAATTACTATTGCTTGTTGATTACCAGGAAGTGTCCAGCCCATTCCACATCTTCCAGCTCCATCCTCACAGCAGGTCTAAAGGTGCGCATTGTTGTCCCCAGTTTAAAAATGAGACTGGGGCTCAGAGGAAGAGTCAGGGCAGCCACCTGGGAGCTGTAGCCTTGGGCACACCATGACCCCGCCCTGAGACTTCATCCTTTCCCTTAAGTGCCCTCAAATCTCTCCCAGACTGCTGCTCCTCTGTCCTCCCGGCTGGCTGTGAATGTCCACCCCAAGGCCTATGAAAGTCCCGCCACTGCCTACCTTCCTGGGCCTTCTCCACTGGCCCCCTAACTTGCCAACTCCCACTGGGGTGAGGGGGAGAGTACCGAGCTACCCAGCCCCCACTCCTGAGGATAGTCCCCGTGGGGCTCAGTAGATTCCAGAGGACTGGTTGGCTGACCACCGGTTTGTGGATCCCAGGCCCCACCAGGTCTGAAGCAGGCCTGGGCTTGTTGGGAGGGAGGGTCGTGTTCTCAGAGGCTGGGACCCATGGGGCGGGAGTTGGGGCTGCTATTTCCCCTGCCACCCGCAGGCGCAGAGAGAGAGAACTGATCCCGCTACTGGGCCACCAGGCACGGCTCTGTTTGTTTACATGGGTAGGGCTTGTCCCCTCGCGGCCAGTCACCAGACAACACAGCAGTTGGTGACAACCATCAGCTCTCCATTTTCCCCTCGGGCCTGGTACAGGCGCGGGAAAGTCCCAACTCCAGAGCGACCTGTACCGTCCTCCCGAGTCTGGCCCAGGTGTTCCCCGCGGCTCCCCGCAGACTTGGGTCCGCAAGCTGCAGTGTACCCCTAAACTTGGGAGACAGGGAGCTGGGCCGAGGAGCAGCGCTGGGGTACCGCCAGCAGCTGGAAGTTCAAGCTGACGGCAGGGCTCCTCCAGCGCCTGCCAGAAATGCGAACGCTGATTCCGGGCACCGGGCGCAGGGGCCCGCGGCCGAAGCCTCCGGGACCAGGTGGGTTGCAGGGTCGGGGTGACGTGGTGCCACAGTTTAGTCTGTGGAGCGGAATCCCGGAGAAGCGGGATCCTGCAGGGCTGCCCCAGACAGACCGCTGACACAGGCGGGGGTCTCTAGTCCCCTTGGGACAGTGAGTTGGAGGCGTCCGGGTCCCCCAGAGCCCACTCACCCGACACGTTTAACTGGCCTCCCAGGAACCAGCCGATCTTGCCACTGCGGAAGTCGCAGTCCCAGACGGTGTGGTACGGGGTGTCCCACACGAGCGTGTCCCGCGCCACCGGCCCCCAGAAGGCGGCGGGGTCCCGGGCAGCCTGCGCGCTCAGCGCGGGGTAGGAGGCGGGCTGCGCGGAGGCGGGGGCGCTGCCCGAGGACAGGGAGATCGCCCCGTCTGTGAGGCTGAGCGGACACAGCCAGCAGCAGGGCCCCGGGGAAGTGCGCGGGCCCCGCCCCGGCTCCGCCCTCCCCAGCCACCCACTCCGGGGGACACTTTCCCAGCCTGAAGTTGTTTGCTGCAGCCCTCCTCGGGCTCCACCCTCCGCCGCCGCCCCCCGCCAGAGG